GTTGAAAATAACCTTGGTCACTAGGCTGTAACTGAGGAACCAACACGCCTGGAACAGCAGATTTTTTAAGGTAGATTAGAAGCAACAAGAACAGTTAACAAAGACTCCCTATGGTGTACTTACTGCAAGAAGCCATGCCACACTAAAGATAAATGTTGGAGGTTACATGGAAAGCCTCAATCAAAACGTAAGAATTTTATCGAGAGAGGGGGTTCATCAAGAGGACAGAGCAGAGCGTATACAACTAAACAAGTTGTTAAGAAGGCTGAAGAACAATCTGTTAAGTTCAATAAGGAAGAAGTTGAAAAATTAAAGAGTCTACTGGAATCCTTGGAGAAACCTTCCTCTACAGGTACATGCAATTTGGTATTCTCAGGTATATCCTCTTCTTTTTCTCAGGATTCTAATGTCTGAAACTATTCACCTACGTACCTGCCCAAAATTCCTAAATAATTGACTCAAGAACCACAGATCATATAACTAATTCCTCACTCAAATTCCTTACCTACACACACCCTATCTAGTAGTAAAAAAAACCACAGTTACAAATGGTACTATCATAACAATTATTGGTCAATGAGATGTTACCATAAGTGAAACCCTTATTCTTAAAAATGTCCTCATGTACCAAAATTGTTTACCAATCTCATATCTATACAGAAACTTATCAAAGATACTAACTGCAATGTTTTGTTTTATCCTACACAATGTATTTTTCAGAAGCAAGAAATGAAGAGGATGATTGAGCGCTAGGGAAGTAAACAGTCTATACTACCTTGAAAACCCCAATAGACCGATTAGAGTCTTGGATACCCAATCTTTGTCACTCTTATTAGAATCTACAACCAATAAAGACCTAATCTGACTAAATCATTTTCGCCTTGATCATCCACCTTTTAAAGGCTATATTCCCCTATTTGTTTAATTCCTCAAGTGTTGAAGAATTTCATTGTGAAGTGTGTGAACTTGCAAAACATAAACGTGCCTCTTTCCCAGTAAGCAATAAAAATACTATTACCCCATTTACTCTTATTTATAGCTATGATTGGGGGCCTTCCACTATTCCTAACATAATTAGGGCTAGATGGTTTGTGTCATTCATAGATGATTGTACTCGAGTCACTTGGATCTTCCTCCAAAAACAAAAATCAGATGTTACGCTTACTTTTGAAACCTTCTACACTATGATTAAACCCTAATTTGGGACTGAAATAAAAAGATTCAGATCAGACAATATCAAAGACTACTTTAACCAAGTCCTATCTCCTTATTTTCTAGATAAAGGTATCATCCATGAATCATCTTGTGTTAACACTCCTCAAAAGAATGGTGTAGTTGAGAGGAATAATGGCCACATCCTTGCCACTACAAGAGCTCTTCTATTTCAAAACAAAGTCCCTAAACATTATTGGGGAGAGGTTGTGTAAACTGCCACCCACATGATAAATAGACTACTCACAAAAGTCCTTGAATCCCAGAGTCCTCTTCAAGTTCTCACAAAATTCTATCCAAAATTTAGTCCATCTCTTAACCTAAAACCTAGAATATTTGGGTGTGTTGCTTTTGTTCATATGCATTCTTAGGGAAGGGGAAAACTTGATCCAAGGGCACTAAAATGCATATTTATTGACTACTCCACTAAAAAAGGCTACAAATGCTATCACCCACCTACAAGAAAATAATACACCTCTACTGATGATACTTTTATTGAAAAAAAGAGTTATTTTACTGTTCTTTATTTTTCAGGGGGAGATATCATTTAAGGAAGATATGGATGTTGCTGTTGATTTTTTCCTACTTCAACCGCTTATTGATTAGTCTGGCCAAATGCAGCAAAACACAGTCTGCTCAGCCTACTACTACTCCAACTTCTCCACAACCAGCCATCCAGGACACTACTCGTCCTCTACCGGTCTATTCAAGGAAGAAGACACCTATACAAATTCAATCATTCCCTTCTCTTGTTCCTATACAATATGAGGTACAATCTAAAACTCTTTCTTATCAAACTACTGAAAATGTTATGTCTAATTCTGATTTTGAATTTCCCATTGCTATTAGAAAAGGAAAAAGAACATGTACCACTAAACATCCTTCCTACTTGTTCACGACTTACAAAAACCTATCCCTTAGTCACAAAGCTTTCCTTACTAGCCTAAACACCATTATCATTCTAAATCTGTTTTCAAGGCATTAGAGAATGAGAACTGGAAAAAGGCTATGAAAGATGAAATGAAAGCACTGAAAAAGAATAAAACCTGGGACTTAATGAAACTGCCAAAAGGGAAGAAAACAATGAGATGTAGATGGGTATTTACAGTTAAGTATAAATCATATGGCTCATTAGAAAGGTACAAAACAAGGTTGGTGACAAAGGGATATTCTCAAACCAATGGAAGATTACCTTGAAACTTTTGTCCCTGTTGCAAAGATGAATACAGTAAGAGTTCTATTGTCCTTAGCAACTAATCAATGATGGAATTTGCAGCAGTTTGATATTAAGGATGCCTTCTTACATGGAGATCTTGAAGAGGACGTGTACATGGATATACCACCTAGATTTGGACCAAGTACTGGAGAGGCAGTTTGCAAGTTGAAAAAGGCTCTATATGGACTAAAGCAGTCTCCTAGAGCTTGGTTTGAAAGGTTTCCTAAATTGATGATGGGACAAGGATTTAAACAGAGTCAAGGTGGCCATACTTTATTTGTGAAACACTTTTCATCAGGGGGAATGACTGCACTCGTGGTGTATATATATGACATAATTGTCACATGAAATGATCTTGAAGGAATTGGTAGGATTTTGAAGTTAAGGAACTTGGAAGATTAAAATATTTGCTTGGAATTGAAGTGACACATTCACGATAGGGGATTTTCATATCTCAACAAAAGTATACTCTGGACTTGTTGAAGGAGACTGGAAAACTAGGGTGAAAGCCAACAGAAACACCAATAGAGGTCAATCATAAGCTTGGAGATTCAAAAAAAATGATGATGCATCAATTGATAGAAGTTCATTTCAATGACTTGAGGGAAGGCTGCTTTATTTGTCACACACTAGACCAAACATAACATATGTTGTTGGAGTTGTGAGCCAATTCATGCACAATCTTAAGGAATCACATCTAAGGGTTGTGACTCAAATTTTGCAATACTTAAAAGGGACACCAAGCGAAGGAATTATGTGTACAAGAGAGGGAAATTTGACTCTAGAAGCATACACTGATGCATACTATGTTGGATCCATAGTTGATAGAAGATCAACCTCTTACTTCTCATATCTTGTACTTGTAATTCTCCCACCCCCCACCCCCTCCAATGCCAATACTCTTAACTTTTATCTTTGTTGTCACGGAATTTACTTTTGCGTTCATTTTGTGGTTTATAAACATTATAAAGTTTTTGTAATGATGATGAGTATAAAGAATCCACTTTTTTTCCTCTCGAGAAAAGAATAGTTATTATCATCTGTGCAGCTTCAAATGCTGATCTCAACAATTGGAAACCTTGAATTTTCTCAATCACTGAAATGAGCTAATTATTAACCAATTATTGGAAGGAGTTATCGAACTTCTCAATCTTTATAGGTATTGCATTTACTAAATGACAATTGGAAACCTGTGATCATTTTATATAGAAATTCCGGTTACATTTGATGAACTTTACTTGTGATCATTTTATATAGAATTTCCCTTGTTTCAAATCATTTTCGCCTTAAGCACTTGCTCACATTCTTGAATTTACACTCAGTATCTTGTTGCATCTATATTTTGTTCATGCTTTTCATGTTCAGTTATAAAGGGAAAAAAAGAAGGAAAGAACCCATCCAGCATATGGCCATTTATGGCAGTCTGGAATATTGTTACTTATCTCAAATATTCGATTTGTTGTCTGAACAGGGGTGGCGCTGGTGACGATCCTCATGGCATAAATCTGGAAATGGATTGTTGAAACAAAATTCTATACACGACTTTGCTTCATCTGGGAAGTACCTTATTGATGAGGGCTATGTTCAGAGAGATCAGCTGAGTGCCATTGGAGTTAGCGCCGGCTGTCTTCTTATAGGGGCAGCTCTCAATATATACCCGAAACTGTTCGTGCTGCAATCTTGAAGGCCAGCCACCTCTTTGTTTGTTTGTTTTTTTGCAAAGGACCTGAAATTTACTGTGATATTACTCTTGCTCAAGTACTACATATCTCAAAAGCAGACTTGGAATAAACAGGACTTTTAACTTTGAGTACCAATAAACCTTTGATCTATTGTTAGACCGTCATAATATAGAGTTTGTTAATATCTGTAACAGGTATCATTTCTTGATATATTGAACTCAGTACAGGATCCAACTTTACCTCTCACTATACTGGACAATGAAGAATTTGGCAATCCTCAGATAAAGGCTCAATTCGAGTGTATTTTAAGTTATTCTCCATACAAGAACATTCGTCGTGGTGGTTGCCACCCTTCAGTTCTGATTACAGCATCATTTAACAACTCTAGGTAAATTCACTTCCTCCTCTTTGATTTTTCATTTGTATTTGCATGAATGTCTGCTGCTTCCTCCATACTTCTGCCATGGCTTTAGTTCTTCGTACAGTAGACAACAAAACTTGGATATATCCATTAACTAATGATTGTTGCATTTAACCATTCATTCAAAGGGTTGGAGTTTGGGAAGCAACTAAACGGGTGGCCAATGTACGAGATGGTACATGTTCTTTATGTTCTTGTTGTGTCATTCTGAAGACGAATATGACCAAAGGGCATTTTGGTGAAGGCGGTATTTACATTCAGTGTGAGGAAACAGCTTACGACTATGCTTTTCTTGCTCACATGAATTAGCAACAAACTTGGCTCCTTTATCAAATCAAATGTTCATTAGCAGCCTGAAAACTCAAACAATGGTATTTTCTTATGGATTATGTTTTCTGAAGAACACTAGATTCCCAGTTCAGCAGTTCACGCAGTCATCAACAGTGAGTCGGCTCCAAAGAAAAGTTGGGCATCAAGATGATTTGCGATATACATATTTACATCCATGATTTGTCTTACCTGAACTCAAAATACACAAAGCCGAAGTATTTACAATAATGAAACCGAGATGAAACAGAATTAACAGACAAAAGTGTACAACTGAAGTTGAAAAGTTGTTGCCGGTCTTATTTCTTCAACAGCTTTCGAACTGGATTAAAATCATCTCCACTGCTCATGTCTCTAAGATGGGTCGTTCCCAGAACAGGTGAATTCTGTGGTTCCTGTACAAAAATCATACACCGAAAAGGATGAGGAACAACTTCATGCAGGTTCTAATCTAATTAACGTGAAACACTGAACCCTATAACCGGTTCAACCAACATGAGGTCGATATCCAATCTTTAATCATATGTTGTACCTCCACAGATGTGCCAGTTGTTAGCCCTCTATTCGAACGCTTTCCAAGATCTATCTGCACTGAGATGTTGGCCTGTGACAGATCCAAACCCGTGCACTGCAGTGCTTGCATGAGAGAAGTCAATAACCTGCTTGACATCAAAATCCACAAACATTACCTACTTGTTCATCATCTAAACTTTAACGAGAACATTCAACAGCACGAGTGCCTTGTACTGCATAACAAGCAATGTTGTACAAGCTTGCAGAGGCAAATCCTACAATGAACGGAATAACAGTAGAAGCTAATCACATAATTGATGAGCAATAAATTTTCAGAGCACAATAAGCAAAAGAAGATATGCACACCCCTGAGAGTAGACGCTGGAGATATTAATAGTTCCTCCTTCAATAGTCAGATTGTCCTGTTGGTTTGATGTATCGTTGCTGATAAGACACCTGGTTGATTGAGCCTCACACATGGATCTCTGAATTGGATGACCAAACACATTATCACCTTGAATGAACAGAGGCATTCCCTTGTTTTCCAACTCGGGTTGCTGATCCATAGCTTTGGATGTCGCATCTCTGATATGAACAGCTTCCGCAGGATTCATTGCACTTGCGATCATTGGTGGGCTCATATTGATGTTATTCTCATCTAACTTCCTGGGAAATGTTGATCCTGGGCCAGAATCATTTTTCATAGCTTGTGGTTGACCAACAAAACTCTGAACGCGCCAATGACTGTTTCTCTATTCAATCAAGGCAAAAATAAGATATTATTCAGAAATTCAATATCGAAAATAAGCAAGCACCATTTACAGCCAATTTCTTCATGACCAAGTAAATCATTAAGCAATGAATTAGCACCTTGAAAATAAGCAATACAAAGAACTGAAATATTGCAATTCTAATTCATTCAAAAGAATCACATAAGGACTAATAGATATATACTCCTTTGCATAGACTATTGAAACGGTTAATAAAAATTCAAAATTCGATACTAACAAATATAATGTGTAGTGCATATCACGTCCTTCACATAAGGACTAATAGATATTCTCCGACTTGTATAATTCGTTCATAGAATATCTAATAGCTTGATGGAGCGGATAAACAGAAATCACCATAGCTTGTCTTTTCAACCGGAAATAAACTGCATAAGCCACATGAACAGAAAGCCTTCCTTAAAACAACATACCCATGGCGTTAATTTCGTGGGCTCTGAACTCCATCCATGGTATGAACCCTCGTATTTTGTAACCTTCTCCTGTAAAAATTGGACATACTCTATGACCTGCAAAAAGAATATCGTTCGAACAACAAAATTTTCAAGCAGAATTTTTCAGAAGGAAAATAGTCAGATAAATACCATACATAGTAGTTTTATTCCAGGTTCATAACATACCTCTAGCAAGAATGAAGCTGTGTCTCTCTTTTGATCTGTGTTCAGTATAAGCTCTCTCAAAATCTGAAACCTAAATGAAGCAGAAGCTATTAGAATTACTATTCAGAAAGTTAAGCAAACACCATCTATTCAAGTAGAAAAGGCACCGAAATTTCAGTCACCATAAGATGACCGATACCACCGGAATTTCAGGTGCCATTTCAAATTAAACATTTTATAAAATGAACTTAACCATTGTTTTAAATCAGTACATCTGCGACTTCAATTTCCTACACAATAGACTAGCTTTATACAAAAAGAGAACTCTTCCACAAAAGCTCAGTAGAGTCATGATACAGTGAGTTAGCTGGAATGACAACAATATTTACATAAAAAAAAGTAAACCCGAAGTAATAAAGTTCAAAACTTTCGTAGCCGTTACAATCAACGGTTTATGCAATTACCATAATTTTGGCTCGGTTAACATGAAAATAATTAAAGGGTAAGGCTAAAAAAACCCCAATTTCCATACAAGATGGACACGCACCTCTCATTTATCTTACTCCTCCTCCTCTGCTCGGTGACAGAATGCTTTGATCGCATCGCTTTAGCCTTATCATTGTTCTTCCCATCTGCTTCTACAGACCCAGAAGCATGACCCAAACAAAATCCAAATTAAACAAAAAAGAACACCCTTTAAGGAACAATCATATGGAAATATGGTAATGAAGAAGAAAGAAATAAATAAAAGGGGGTATATGGTGTACAAGATTGGGATCCAATCTAATAAATATACCATTGTTGATGTCGGTGTTGTTATTGACAGACACAGTGTAAACAGAAGGCCCTGTTTTTTTGGAACCAAACTCATCTTCCTCGTACTCTTCTTCCTCTTGACTTCCCTTTCCCTTTCCCGTCCTCATTTCCTTTTTCTTCTCCAGATGTTAAAAACAAAATAGTTATACACACTATAAAAGTAAAACCCGCAAAGAAAGTAAAAGATTGGGGGGGGGGGAAGATGAAGGCTTTTTGATAGATGGGGAAAAAGTGTAGGGAATTGTAGAGAAAGTAAAATATGGAGTTTTGTCTGGTTCCCGGCGAGAACAAAAAGAGTGCTTGAACAAAGTTATCTGGTTTTGATGGAAAGGAAAGTGGCGACAACAACAAACAAGGATGATGGAATTGTGAGTGAGATTAAAATTTCTTCCTGGATTTCCCTGATGTTTTTACTAAAATTGGGCCTTCATTTGTTCTTTACCATGTTGTATGGGCCCTATGATCATCACAAAAATAGTAACAACAAAATTTGTAGCTACCATATATTAGTAGGTGTTCATGATTCGAAATTATTTTCTATTAATTTAGAATAATTATATAATATATTTATTTAAAATTTTCTCATCTAAATGATATTTAGTATATTTATATTCTTGAATTGTAGTTATTTGAACTTTGAATTAGTATATGTGGGTTTAGTTCGAGTTTTTTATTTATTTTATCATTAAAAATAACAAAAAAATATTTTTTTATATTAATATTTAAAAAAAATACTTCTATTATTTAATTTTAATTCCAATGAAATTGGTTTAAAATTAAAAATTAAATTCGACTCGTGAATGGGTTCTATAAGTCATTGGATGTTAGACGCCATGGTTCAAAGTTAGGGCAGATATGTGTAAACAAATGAATGGATCAAATAAAGTCCACAAAAGAATGGGAATTAGGGTTGACGATTATATATTAATATGATTTAATAAAAAATATTGGTAGTACTAAAATATCAACTGAATTTAATATTGATTGAGGAGCGGCCTTATTAAATTGTTCGATTAGATATTTTTATAATTTATAAACTTGAACTACCTAATGTCAATGAGTGCTAAGAACAAATAATTGTGATTTAAGAATTTGAGTTGTAAGGTCAAGTTCGAGTTTTGTTACTGTCACTTTTGATAAACAATCTATAAATTCTTATATAAATTTCAATTTATACTTAGATATATCCTAATCCTGACTTGAGAGAACCAACTCTGACCTAGACTTTTAAAAATAAAAAACTTAAACTACCCGAATACCTACTATGCTTACATGGGAATTAATTAACCCACGAAAGTCCCCTCCAACATTTTTAATTATCAAACATACTTTGTGTAAATAAATAATTATATCATTTTTAGAAAAATCTATTTTGCCACAAACTCAATAATCAAAGTAATAATTGTTATTTTTAGATATCCTCTCTTCGAGCACAATAGATCTTAAGATATTTAAACGTTTATTGTCAAATGGTTGAGAGACTTTAGAACATATACTACCACTTGTAAGTACTTTAGATTAATTAGAAAAAAAATCTATTTTATAAATAAAATCAAATATTATTATAAATATCTATACATTTTTAGAAACATGTATGTAATCTTATTAATTTTAATAACATAATTTTGTTGATGCTTTTATGTGATGAGTTATGTAATTAGTGTTGGGGAAACTGGGTTATTTCCCACACGAACGTAGTTTAAAAAATTATCTAAAATGTCAAAATTAAAACTATCTAAATTGCACAGCGGACAAACCCGTCAAACTATTGAATATTGAAACACAATGGAAAACCCAAAAAATATAAACAATGGAGAGAACACACCAAATTTACGAGGTTCAACGAAAATATCGTCTGCTCCTCGGGCACCACCAACGGATGATAACTTCACTATCGAACAAAATATTACAACAAATGGAATTCCTAAGAATTCCCATAATATTACAAAACGGGAGAATGAAGAAAACAAATGGGAGAAATAACTTATTGGGATGATTTCAAGTGAAAGTGCTTGAGTCTATTTATAGTTGAGTTTTAAGGACTAAACGTATAAATAACCTAATAGTTTAGGGACCAAGGATGAATTTTTCCATGTGCATAAGTTGGCAACTTGCCAACCTTTGGTGTCCATCATAGCCACTTGTCTACTTTATGAGATTCCTTTACAATCTTTTTTGTCAAATAAATGAATGAAACCATTTATATCAAAATGCACCGTTAGGCATTTCGTCTTTTACCCAAAGGAATTTAGCCTTTCATCTAACTTGCATGATTGACACATTCCTGCCAAATGCACAGCTAGGCCATTGATCTTTTACTCAAAGGTATTTAACCTTTCATCTAACTCACATAATTGACACATTTCTGCCAAATGCAAAGCTAGGCCATTAATCTTTTACTCAAAGGTATTTAATCTTTCATCTAAGTGACATAATTGACACCTTTCTACCAAATGCACAACTAGGCCATTAATCTTTTACTCAAAGGTATTTAACCTTTCATCTAACTAGCATAATTGACACATTTATGCCAAATGCACAACTAGGTCATTAATCTTTTACTCAAAGGTATTTAACCTTTCATCTAATTGGCATAATTAATACCTTTCTGTCAAATGCACAGCTAGGCCATTAATCTTTTACTCAAAGGTATTTAATCTTTCATCTAACTAGCATAATTAACACATTTCTGCCAAATGCACAGCTAGGCCATTAATATTTTACTCAAAGGTATTTAACCTTTCATCTAACTGCATAATTGACACCTTTCTACCAAATGCACAACTATACCATTAATCTTTTACTCAAAGGTATTTAACCTTTCATCTAACTGGCATAATTGACACATTTCTGTCAAATGCACAGATAGGACATTAATCTTTCATTTTAAAATAGTTTTTACTCTAATAATTATTCATAATATCAATTAACTCTTTCAATTCATTATAAGTTCTATATTTTGTACACATAATACCAATACAGTAATTCACAGTCTTATTATAATTTACGTGGGTTGCACACACACTACCAATACAGAAATTCATAAACTTATTATGAATTTATTATTTTTTCACACAAAGTGTCATTTGGTAATAACCATACATATAGTAAGCAACATGCATTTATAATCATCATAACACATAAGTGCATAATGAATGCACTCACCTGGTAATCCTCGCTAATAAGATATTGAGATGTTTGACTATTCAGCAACTTTATAGTTGTCCTTCTTCTTGCTAGATTCAGGAGCTTGGTTATGATCTACACAAGCATCCATTAAAGACATATATCATACCAAATGTTAGTATATTCCCTAACATTTATACTTTAATAATACTTAAAAGTACTATTATTTCAATTTCTATAACAATTTCAACCTATCTTATATTTCCAGGCTCAATAGTATCGATACCCCTACCATGGTATCGATACTTATATATTATGGTACCGATACCTTTCTCTCAGTATCGATACTACTACACTATGGTATCGATGCTCCCTTTCGGTATCGATACTATTTTAGCATTCTGTTATCCATGGTATCGATATTTTCCCTTTTAATATCGATACCCTATCAATATCGACACTACTTGCATCGGTACCGATATTGTTCGTTATATTTCCACCCATTTAAGCTTATAGTATCGATATTGTTATATCAGTACCGATACCCTTACCCATATTTACCATTTTTCAGCCTGATTTTTACTAAATTTTCCCCTTTAATCTCTTATTTTTACCTCCAACAATACTATTAAACTGTTCTTTACTTAACCCAACTAACTTTACGTCATTTAACCTCTTATAACATCTAAAATCTTCATAGAACATCTCAACTCAAGAATCGTATCACTTTTTCTAGTATATTTTTACTCATATCTAAAGCTTCTAATCTCTTATTTACTTCTTTGACAAGTCAAATATACTAATAAACATCAGTAAAAACCATATTCCAACATATCGTTCAAAAACTCATTTTCTTCAATCTCAAATATCTCAACCATCTCCTAGTTTTAATCTTACTTAACCCTTCCTTAAGCTTCCATAATACTCAATGTTCCAAAAACAATCCAAAAACAAGAGGAAGAGCTGGTCAAATTAAATCTTACCTTTGGCTATAGAGGATGGTCCTTGCACGGGGAAGAAGAAAAGAAATAACTCCCTTGGTTTTTAACTTTCCCCCTTTTCTTCCTAAAATCCCTAATAAAGAATGAATTTTAAATTCATTTCTCCTTAAAAGACCAAAATACCCTCTATATTTATTCATTTATACAAATTGGTCTTAAACATTATTTCAATCATTACCTAACTTTTTATCATTTATACAAATAAGTCTTCAAATTTTAAATCTTTTCAATATGGTCACTAATCTGATATTTGGGGTATTATAATTCTCCTCCTTAAGAAAATTCATCCTTGAATTTAAAGAAGTATCTGAAAAGAAGAGGTGTGGAAACTACCTCCTCATGTCCTCATCTCTTTCCCAAGTAGCTTCTTCTACCTTATGATTCTGCCGGAGCACTTTAACTAAAGGAATTCTCTTATTACATGACTCCTTGTTTTCTTTAGCCAAGATCCACATTGGTTCTTCCTCATTAGTTAAATCTGATCATATCTCTATTTCCTCTAGTGTGATAATGTGAGATAGATCTGATCGATACCTTCTGAGCATAGACACTTGAAAAATATTGTGAATCTTGTCCATATCAGGAGGTAGAACTAACTTATATGCTATTGTCCAACTTATCTCCCATTTGAAATTCAATCTTTTTTCTTTTCAAATTGGCATAAGATTTCGATCTTTTAACTCAAACTAATTTAATGGTGTTTAACATTTTCTCCCATATAAAGCTTCGTATACAACCATCTTAGTGTTTAGCTTTTCCTCTTATATTACTTAAGACATTTTGCTAAAAATTTTGTGATGGCTCTTTTCAAACCAGGCCACTCAATCGACTCTTTAAATCTCGGTACCTCTTGTTTCCACCTGAATGCATAGTTAATGGACTTAATGCCTCAACAAAAATATCTTTTTAAATTTTTAATCGTCGAGGATACAAAGGTGGTGTTTGTTTTTGCAGAGGTAAAATGTCTGCAGTCTGCGGACCACATCTGCAGGCATCTGCAGCAGAAGAGGTGGACTAAAAGTCTGCAGCCTGCAAGAAGAATACTGTTTGTTTTTTAACGTCTGCAGATTGCTAAAATAAACTGATTTTTTTAACTTAAAAGAGTTTTGCAATACTGAGATTTAAATAATTTTAGTTTTACAATATTGAAATTTAAATAATTCATACAACTACAATAATAATTTTTTTAGAAAAACAAACACCACCTTATTAATTCTATTATAAGTCTCACATAATCACATGTATTATTAGTTTTATAAGTTTTATAGAATAAAATTTATAAATGATCATTAAATTATATGATTTTTTTAAATATGCAATTATGTAA